TTAAAAAAAAAAAAAAAAAAAAAAAAAAAAAATAAAAAAAAAAAAAAAAAAAAAAATTTTTTTTTTTTTTTTTTTTTTTTTTACATAATTATTAATGAATTAAAATATTTTTAAAATTAGATCATTGGGTTGATTGTATGAATATTTTTGAAGTATAAGAAAAATAAAAAAATTTTCCTTTTAATATTTTTCCTTTTCAAAATATAATTTGTTGAAAAAATTCTTATTCTTCTGATAATTTTATAATTTTTCAAATTTTATTTTCTACTATATTTTTAGATTAGAGGGCATTTAATATGTCCCTTTGGTGTATCAGATATAATAATTAATCAGAATGTTAAATATGTTCTATTAATAGAGAAAGAAACAATTTTTTTTAAATTACTTCAATCTGATTTTATAAACAAATATGGTCCTTCAATTCTGATTACAGCTAAAGGATTTCCTGGTTATTTTTAATAAAATGAACATCTATATATATATATCCCCAATATACATAATATATACATTATCTATTCAGATATAAACACGAGACAGCTTATATTTGAAATTCATAGAAGAAATAAAAATCTCAAGTTTTTTTGTTTAACTGACTACGATGCTTATGGTTCACTCATAATTTAAAAATTATTTACAACAAAATATATTTTTTTTTTTTTATATAAATAAAATAAAAATAATTTGTAGTTTTATTAAATTAAAATTATCATATAAAAATACACAACTTACACTTATATTTTATATTTTGAAGGACTTAATATTGCTTTTACTTATTCCTCTAAATACGAATCAAAAGTTTATTGTTAATATTATTAAAATATATAAAAATTTTAAATAAATAAAATTAAAAAAAATTTTTTTTTTATAATTTTTTTTTTAAATATATAGATGTTGACGATATATCAAATGATAATTTATATTGGTTAATTCTTTTTACACCTGATGAAGCAATTAAAAAAAATGTTTTAAAAAAAATAGATCTTAATAATTTATCTTTAAAGGATATAAGAATTTTGGATAAGTAATTTTATTTTATAATATTTTAAAAATATAATTACTTAAATTATTATTTATTTACGCAATTTTTTTGTTTTTCAGTATTTGTAATAATTTAAAAAAAAAAACTAATAAATGTCATGCAGCTGAAATTAATCGTTGGATGTAAAAGAAAATACAAAATTATTATTGTTTTAAAATTTTTTATTAGTAATATTTTTTTATATTTTTATTTTTGTTATTTTTTTTCTGAAGAGAATATGCTACCAATATGAAAAAGGATGGAGTAAAATACGAAATAGATTCTGTCATTAATATTGAAAAACATATAAATATGAAAATTAAGGAATTTTTATTAACATAAAGAGTAAAAAATATATTAATAAAATTTTAATGTACACAAATTTATTTTTTTTTTTTTTTTTAATATATATATATTATACATTATATCTAATTTTTTTTTCTCTGTAAAAAATTAAAAAATTGATATTATTATGTTTAATTCTATATGTTATTTTTGATAACTATTTAATTTTTGACAATTATATTTTTAAAGCATTGAAATAAAAATATTAGATGCATTAAATATTTAAATATATACTAAAAAAAAAAAAAAAAATTTAAGAATAAAATTTTCCACAAATATAAAATAAATATTTAAAGTAAAATATGATAATTTAAAATGTTAAAATTTAAAAAAACCTAAAAACAAAATGAATTTTTCCAAATAGCTTACAATTAATTATTTTATTTGGTCTAATTATAAAAATTGATCTATTCATATAAAGATTTGATTTTTTTTTTTTTTTTTTTATGTAAAAAAATATAATGAAAAAGGAATAAATATAAATATTGAAGAAATAATTATTAATAGAACATAAATGTTAAATTATTTTAAAATTACAAAAATATTAGGAGATATATGAGATATACATATTTTTTATTATTATGTTGAAAAGCAGTTTTGAAACATTATTAAAACTTTCACAACAATGTGCAAAAAATTGTTTCAAGAATAAAAATGAAATACTAAGCTCAAAAAAAATTTATTTTAGTGATCTAGTTAATAAAAGATATAAGAAATTTAATTTCAAATATTTAAGTTTTCCTTTTTTAAAATATAATTTTAGCTTTACATTTAATAAAAACATAAGCACAAAGAGAAGAAGGTATTTTAAGATAAGAAAACATCAAAAAAAAAAATATAAAAAAAAAAGAATGGGATTATCTACTATTCCGTGGATACCAACAAAAGAAAAAATTAGAACATATAAATTACCTCGTCAAAGTAAATTAATAAATAAAAGATTTATGAGAGACAAAAAAGGGGGTCGTAGATATCGTTTAAAAAAGCAAAGATGAAACACATACATGAAAAAAAAAAAAAAAATAAAACATTTTTTTTGGAAATCTTTACATAAAAAATTTGATTTTTCTTTTAATTTTGCTAAAATAAATCATTAGTTAATATTTTCCTTTTTTTTTTTTTTTTTTTTTTTTTTTTATT